ACAGATGGTCGGGGACATGTATCCTAACATGTATGATCTATGTACTAAATTTGAATGAAAACTGACAAAGCATGTCCAAAATACGACATTTTCAAAAAACAAGATGGCTGCCAGTCGGCCATCTTTGATCCAATTGTGAAATAAATCATCATGGACATGTATCCTAACATGTATAATCTATGTACCAAGTTTGAATGAAAACTGGCAAAGCATGTCCAAAATACAACATTTTCAAAAAACAAGATGGCTGCCAGTCGGCCATTTTAAATCGAATCGCTAAACCACTGCATGTGCATATGTCCCACATAAAGTACTAGGCACATGCAAAGAATGAACGGAATCAGTCCAAGGGATTCTGAGATATGACTCCGGACGGACGGACGGACGGACGGACGCACAGACGCACGGACAAACGGACGGACGGAGACCGAATTATAAGTCCCCGTTTTCGGACTTCGTCCGAACGGGGACTAATAATGAATGAACATGGCAGCTACAGTTTGAAATCAAAATCGCTTTGTTTCCGTTATTTATAATGAATATCAATTTTAAGCTACACGTGCCTTTTCATGAAACCGATATGATCACACAGAGACTTGTAACTTTAAATAAAATTTACCGACTTTGCTTAAAAACATGCAATATTTGTAGACGTGAGAGTGAACAGAAGTGCTTCAAATGTGCTCGAAGAAAATGCTATGACATCACAGGACTTGGGCGATTAAAACAATAGCATTTCATAACCGGGTGTTGAGGGACTGTGATACATTACAGTTATGCATATTAAGAAACTATTTATACCAAGTAGGTAACTAATATGCAAGGAATTCAACCCCGAAGTAATCACATATGTGGATTATCCATAGGTTTGTACCTGGTTTTATTGAAATTTGATGAGTGTTTCTCAATATGTAGAAACCTATAAATTGGTTAATTTGTGCAAATTAGGTAATTAGTAAGCACAAACATTATTTGATGAAGAAACAGATATCCAGATATACTTACCTTTAACAATGATGTGAGCAATTCCAAGAGATTAGTTAATTTGGTATTTGATTCCTCCAATGTATCGGATATATTGTGTATGGCTTCACATAACACAGTGTTGCTATGGTTACGATATTGATAATGACACACTGTAGCTATACACTGTAGAATCTGAAATAAAAAAATGGGTGAAAAATGTTTAAGAACTCTTGAAACCAAAGGCACACAATTCAAAATTACAAAATCTTACAAGAAATAAAAGTGACAATCATAGAACACAATATAGTGTGTGAAAAGATCAAATGATTACTACCTGTGCAGACAATAAAACATTTTAAAGCACAACTGTGTTACTTTGCTGTGATTTGCTCTCAATTCCAGGGAAGTGTATAACATGAACAAAGCACTCAAGAATTTATTTCAACACCACAACAGTTATTAATGTGTCTATCTTTATTTTAGTTTTTGTTCACATACCATAATGCTTAGTGGTGTCATTTGAAATCAGTGCAATATAGCCATGAATAGGGTATATAACTAATCTAGCAGGTCTCATCTCTGCCATATAGTCACATATATGGTATATAATTAATCTAGCAGGTCTCATCTCTGCCATATAGTCACATATATGGTATATAATTAATCTAACAGGCCTCATCTCTGCCATATAGTCACATATATAGTATATAATTAATGTAGCAGGTCTCATCTCTGCCATATAGTCACATATATGATATATAATTAATCTAGCAGGCCTCATCTCTGCCATATAGTCACATATATGATATATAATTAATCTAGCAGGTCTCATCTCTGCCATATAGTCACATATATGGTATATAATTAATCTAGCAAGCCTCATCTCTGCCATATACATATAGTCACATATATGGTATAAAATTAATCTAGCAGGTCTCATCTCTGCCATATAGTCACATATATGATATATAATTAATCTAGCAGGTCTCATCTCTGCCATATAGCCACATATATGGTATATAATTAATCTAGCAGGCCTCATCTCTGCAATATAGTCA